GGTCAGGTGATGGCATGCGATTTCTGGATCTATTCCGGGCATCTCGGCTGCGCTCCAAGAGAACAGGTAGGTGTTCTCCCTTAGGCAGGCTTCGAGCTGCTTCTTTGCCAAGGCAGGGAGGCCAACTCCTATCTTCACTCCTCTGGTGGGATCGTTCCAAAGGGGGATAAGCTCAAAGTCTCCGTCCGGAATGGGCCGTGAGAGTTTCGTGCTACCAGCAGATGGGGAAGATCCCTCAGCTTTGATCATGTGTTCTTTGCCTTTGTTTCTCTGTTTAGCGTGATCTTCTTTGGAGAAGCGAATGTCTTGGTCGATGGCGTCAACCCTTGGTAGCGGCTTGGCTTCCTCATAGCTAAAGAGCAGTGCGGCTCCAGTGATCGTTTGAGGATGAACATTGACAGAACTGAGACCTTTGGCTGAGGCTTCGAAACATCTCCCCGCCGCTTGGATGTCCCCATGGATGATGGCGACCAAACCGTCAGTAGTGTAGTACTTCATCTTGAGGTGTACGGTGGAAGGCACTGCGATCAGCTCGACAAGAGTTGATCTCCCAAAGATGCACTAGTAAAGATATAGGTAGTCTATTACCAGAAATTGGGTCTTGATGGCTTTGGTCGTCACTCCTCTCACGAAGGTAAATATTAGCTCGACATATCCCCAGGGTTTTATACTGGCCCCATTGAAGCCCTGGAGATCTGATCTAACATATAGGGTCAGATGGCTCTCATTCAGCTGTAGAGTGGTGAATAATTGGGAGTATATAATGTCTACCAAGCTTCCCTGATTGACCAGGATATGTCGCACGTCGAAATTCGCCATGCAGGCCCTTATGAGTAGTGGGATGATAGAGTTAGGGGCCCCTCCCGGTAGTTCTTCCCTGTATAAGGTGAGGGGTGAGAACCTCCTCAGAATTTTTCTAGCGTGGCGTCCATGTCGCAGTTGGCCTCGATCAGTTGGTCGAATATCCTTTTGAGAGATCCCACCGTGTGCCTGTTGAATCCCCCACCAGATATGACCATAGCGACGGAGAATGACTCCCAGGGACTATTGGAGGAGGAGTATAAAGGAACTCCCTCCATGTCCGGGAGGTAGAAGTCTTATGGCCGCATGATGCTCATGGCGACCGGTATGGCATTAATGTTGGGGGACTCCTTCCCCTCTTTGATATTTTTGGCTTCTGGAGCCTCTTCATGGGCGGCCTCTTTCTTCTTGTATTGTTTGAGGTTCCTGTCTCGAATCAATATTTTGATTGCATCCTTGAGATGGTTGTAATCTTTAGTATTGTGCATGTGGCTTTTATGGAACCTGCAGTATTTGCTTTTGTCAATTCCTGGTTTCGATGGCGTTTGTCGGGGAAGCGCACCCCGACCTATTTGAATTCGAAATTTGTGCACTCAGATAGAATACACTCCCTCGAAGTAGTCAGACCGGTGTAGTCATGGAACCTCCCGACGGGTCCCTTGTAGTCCTTGGGGTCCGGGATTTGTCTTCTCTTTTCTTCTCTCCTCGACGAGAAGCCGAGGGTTCATCATTTCTCGAGAGTTTGGCACTCTCTTTGTGCCTTGATTCCCGGGCATTATTGACGACTTCCTTCTCCTTATACTGTATGTACGCTTGAGCTTTGAGGAGGAGGGATTCGAGCGTTGTTGGTGTCTCGATACCTACCGCCTTGGCAAAGTCGCTGCGGGGACGGAGCCCACGCTCAAGGAGGTATTTCTTCATGTTATCGGTCATAGAGACTTGTATTTCTTCCTTGTTGAAGCGCTCGATGTACGCCCTGAGAGATTCTCCCTGCCTTGGATGATCGCTTCGAGCGAAGCTTTCGACTTTGGGTGTCGATGTGAGGCTGTGAAGTGCCTCAAGAACATCCTCCCTAGCTGCTTCCAGGAGGTGATGGATTCATCAAGGAGGCTCTTGTACCAGGACATATCTCCCTTCTTGAGTGTGGTCGGGAACAACCTGCATTTGATGGCTCCTCTGACCCCTCGATAGTCCAGGAGAGCATCAATGTTCTCAATATGTTCGTCGGGATCTGTCGTCCCATCGTACGTCCCCAAAGGGGGTGGTTTCTCTAGTCCGACCGAGAGAGGTGCTTCTGTAATTTCCCTCGACAACGTTCTGCGGGGTTCGTCGTTGTCGCTATCTACAGGAGACGAGGAAGGGGAGTGATAATTCTTTCCCCGTCGGGTGTCGTGGTCCCGACGGGGGGAAGGACTCCTCTGCTCCTACCTCAGCTTGAGCGATGGTGATCGAAATTGGTCAGCTTGGTGGTCATCTTTCTTTCTTTTGGACAACAGAAAGTCTTGATCTTTTGGGGGAGGTGAGCGGTCAAGTTTCTTGAAGAAAGAAATTCCACGCTTCTCCTTTGTTGGTGGAAGTCCACGCCTTGGTGGAGATATGTTATGGGAATATCGTCGTTGGGATCTCTGAGGAGGAGATCTTAATCGCTTTTGTTCCCAGGATCCCATCTTTTTATTTTCTTGCAAGATAAGGGTGTTGGTTTGATTGATGGTAGCGAGCAATATTGTGATGGCCGGATTGGTGCTTTGAGGGATAAGAACTGGTTGTAGGATCTCTGGCAGTTCCTCAGCGGGGATCTTGGAACATTGTCCGTCCAAGAATTGCTGATCGTCACGCTGAGCACCGACAGAGTTTAGGGATGCAGTTCAATTGTCGCGGAGATTGAAGATATCCTTGAGGTGAGGATGTCCCTTACCTTTGTCAGTCTCGTGCACCGGGGAAAGCAAAATATTTCCAGATGGATGATGATCGTCACGGTTAGCCATGATTGTCGAATGGAGGTGATATTTGGTTTTTATATTACAAGGAGTAGAAAACGGGGAAGATAGTTTCCCCCAGACGGTGCCACTGATCTTACCGGTGATAAGAACTTGCAAGGTGGTCGGATGACAATCTTCTATCGAGCAGGAAAGTCGAGGAGGAAAAAAGGGGGTTGTGCCTATAAGGCACTCCAACGATCAAGTAAGTAAGGAAGCAAAGAGATACAAGCAAAGTGTTAGGATTTTAGTAGTGAATAGTGAATATTTGATACTTGCCCCTCACATGTATGAGAGTTTATATAATGCCCCTGGTGCATAGCCATTTGTTCCTGTTTTTGAGCCTGGATATGCTGGTCCATAAAAACAAGTAACTGCAAGGACTTGGTCATACCGGGCAGGTGTGTCTGTAACTAGCCGTTAGATTCGAGGAGGAGGTAGATTACGGGCAGCGATCTGGTCGGTTCCTGGTTGTCTGCACGACTTGAGGTCGGGTAGACTGAGAGGTGCTCGTCAATCATCATGGGTCACTTCCGATCAAAGAGGGCAAAGGATTGATGTTGTCCGACAGAGAGTGGGGGAGATTCGGGCCATGGGCGTATGGGTCGTACCAAAAGAAGGGGTTAGACTGGGCCTACTCTGGCTGTCGGGCCAGTCCAGAACATGACACATCAAAGCGATATGCAAATTGTCTGCACTAAGTCAGACCACTCAACCTGACCCAAGTCAGCCTGGACCAAGTCAGATTCCATCCATCATTCCTGAAGTAATTGCCACTTGATCGAGTTGTCTTCCAAGTTTTTGTTTAATTGTTAGTGAAACTTAGTGTCAATGAACACAATACTATTGTATTAGTGTCAATGAACACTAAATTAGGCTTGTTGTAATAGTGTCAAGTAACTCAATATCAGGCTATTTGTACGAGTGTCATTGAACACAAAATTTGAAGATTATGTATTAGTGTTAATGAACACATGTTTTGATAGTGCAATATGTTTTAATAATGAAATATTCAGCATCTTGCTCTTTACTTAATTTGGATTTTTATTGTGTTTGATTCAACATGAACTGCAAATACTTAATTTGGATAAATAACATGGAACACAATTGTTAAAAGAGTTCATTACAGAACACAATTGATAACACTTACAGACCATTATGTTATAGCAGAAATGTTAAAACATCAAATTACATGGTGTTTTGACATGGTGTTAAAACATCAAATTATAGCAGAAATGTTAAAACATCAAATCCGCATACCCCATTCAATACATTTGATTTAACCAATATTGAAATTACATAGTTTCATAACATAAAATTACATGTTGTTTGACCACAACCCTATTTGGAATACATGGTAAGAAACACTAGATTAAACACTAACCAAATAAGGTCAAACACCATTGCAATTTTCAACAGTCCTCTTGTGCTCAAAACCTCGTTCTTCAACTTGAATATTTTCTTCCTTTGCCTTTCAATCTTCAAATCCCTTCCATCGACAACTTCATCATTCACTCACTTGAAAAATTGCATCCCTTCTCCAATTAATTTCTGTAATTCCTACAACCCCAAAATTTTTCTCAATATTGATATTATTCAAATCTGTAATAGTACAAATAACACACTCTTCTTTGCACCAACAATCCCTTCTTTTGTTTCTTATCACCACATATTCAAATGACCCACAATATTGATTGTTTGATTTTATATAGTTGCTGAAATTCGTTGACATCTTAACAAAAGAATTGTCAAATATGGTTTAGGTGAAGAGGATTTTGACAGAAGTTTGGAACAAGAAGGATGAAGGAAGAAGATGAATAGTTGCCATAACTTTTTCAGAAAACGTGAAAATGGTGTTTGAGAAAATATAGATTACAACGTTAATATAAGGTCATATTGAGCCACTATTGAAAACTAATTCTTATTGTCATGTCCAGCCCAATTAACTATTTTTCATCAAAATTATCAGAATGGACCAAATTGATTAACGAAATCATTTAAAAAAAACTTATTTATAACATAAAGACCGAACTGAAATATGAAATTAAACTAAGAGGTTTCATCACTAAATAAGCCAAATTTTTATATATTAAATAAAATTAGGATATTTAATAAATTTAAATTTTGTTTTACAAAAATATTAAAAATTTAATCAAATGAAATTTATTTTGTTTTGTTAGAATAGTTGGAAATTTGATTTGGGGAAAAACAAACCCTAGAAACATGAGCTACTTTCCACCCGTACACTCTCTCCATCAACAAAACAACAAAACAATGTTGTTGCCTATGTCTGTTTCAAAGCTAACCCTAAGAAGGCACTTTTTCTCCATTTCTCCGAAATCATCCACAGGGATCTTTCTTTCTTTTTCATCTCATTCTCGATTCTATTCCGTTGATCTTGATGTTGACGATGCTGTTTTGTCATATGCCTCAAACTCCATCCATTTTTGAATTCAACAAGATTTTAACTTCTCTACTTTCCGTTGATCTCAATTGTCGTTCCCTTTTTTTTTTACTTTGTAAACCTATTGTTAGAAGGTTGTTACCTAGTATTGACTGTGATTTATATTTATAAAAATGATTGGTCACTATAGTTATTGCTCTGCATCATGTAGTTCTGTTGGATTTTATACTCTGGCTATGTATTCAAAATAAAAATTTCACTTCTCTATAGCTATTATTACTGCAAAGTCTATACAATTGTTTTTTCATTAGTTACAGCTGTCGGTTACGGTTAATTATGAAAGAACACTTGCCATAAATAGATGTGAAGTAATTACATGATTCCTTAAAACTGTTTTAGCCTCACTAGTCATTCTATTGTTTTTACTTCGACAGGGGTAGGGATAGCTCTGAGTGTAGTTCATGTTTACACTTTCAAAGTAGAAATCGAACTCTTTGATTTAAGTTATGATGAAAAAATGTATCTCCATAAAAACTGAGTTGGTTGTATTGTATCCTTTTCAAATATGCCATCGCATGCTTGATGCAATTCAAACTGAATTTGTTTCATGATTGTTACTTACAATTAAGAGTCTCGGATGTAAATGAAATAGAGAAAAATCTTAGTTCATCACTTGAACCATGTGCATATGCATAAGTAATATATGTTTGCAAGTTGGACTAAGGTCCACAGTTTGGCATTAAACATTGAATAGTAATTACAATGAATTTTAAGAAATTCCAGAGTCTTGATTCTCTCCCTTTCAGAAATTCGAGAGCTTGGTCTCTCTCTTCCAAATATAACTTTTGTCTTTTTTTAAGAAATTCCAGAATCTTGATTCTCTTCCTTTCAGAAATTCGAGAGCTTGGTCTCTCTCTTCCAAATATAACTTTTGTCTGATTTTCAGCATATGCTCGGATCATGATTCTGTTTCCATATTTATTCTGTCTAAGTTTTGTAATGGTTCTAATAATAATTATTATTATTCCAATAATACTACTTGACAAAATAGAACAGCCATATTTATTTTTAGTTGTTAGTAATTATTAAGGTCTAACAAATTGATCATGCGATATTTCATAACAAATTGTTTAATGTTTAAGATGATGCCAATTAAAGACATCTTCTATTTTGAAGTAAATAACAAATTAGGAAGACATTTCTTTAGTAAGCAACACAAAGACATTTGTGACAGGAGAGAATAATAAAACTGAACAGGATGCTCGACGCTTCATTTTTTCCATTACTCTTGAGGTAGGAAGTGCAATTTTAATAGACGCTAGAGTGTGAAGAAGCCTTCACACTGTTGAAGCTCCCCTCTCTAAAATCTTAGTTTTGTCAAGGCCCATAGTTGGAAAGACGAAATTAATCATGGCAATTTCTCTTCCCTCCTTTACTATATGAGGCGTACTCTTGAAAATTCAAAAATATTTTTGGGTGAATTCATATATACATATCCTATCATTGATACTAATAGGAAATGAATTATCTTGACAACGAAAAGTTTAATTAAGAGGGAGAAGAAGAGGCAAAAATTGGAACAAAAATATCATTTGATTTGTGTTGAAGCGGTAAAGTGGCAATCAAAAGTAAGTGTTTTTATAGGTTTATCATATCGTCTCCACAAGGATTAATGCTACTGAATTGTTGTTCAACAATTTCAAGCGTTTATGAGTTTGAAGTTGAATTGGGTTGGTTTGTATAAAAGGTAAATGCGAGAATTAAAGTTATTAATAGGAAAGAGTTCATTCTTTGGAGAGTAGAGAATGTTAGAACATAGTTTGATTCTACAACCCTCAGTTAGAGTTTTGATGATAACAAAATACAAGATTAAATGAATTATGAGATTTATATATGACATAGATGCTACCTAAAAATATGTTGTGTATTTACAGGAAACTCTGATGGAATCAGCATCAGAATATCAGAATATCAACATCAGCATCAGAAGATATGTCACATCAGAAGATCAGTACATATGTTTACGTTGTAGTCTGATGAACAAGATCTGCGCTCAATTTACTCTGACTCTGATCAAGATCTTAACAATGTCATCAGCACTCAAAAGCAATCAGAATAAGCTAAAGCCAACACACTCTGATCTTAATCAAGCAGAACATTCTGAAGTGTTAACGTTACTGCATTCAAGGCAGATTAATTACCAACGGCTTTATTCCAAGACAAAGATCTTCTCAAAATGGAAAGAACGTAATGAGCATTGAAATGGAATTATTGGCATCAACGTATCTTTTCCAAGAAGTATTTAAACAAATCAGTGAGAAGTGAAATGGCTAATGATCTACAATACTCTACAATTCTTCTACACGCATAAGTCAATCATCTTCGTCCTCACTCACTCAGTTTGCTAAAGCTCTCAAATTGCTTACTCTATAGTTCTAGCATTCTAGTTTCACATAAGCTTTATATTGTGTATTATCACAATTGTGATATATAGTTTTTGTAGAAAACATCAAACACACATAATAGTTCATTTATCTGTAAGAAAGAATTTCCTTGAGAAACCGGTCTGTGGTTTAGACTCAAGAAGGCTTTAGCAGTTGTTAAAGCAGTTTTGTATTCAGTTGAATATAGTGGATTAAGACCTCGTTGGAGAGAGGCGAAATCACCTTGACGGGTGGACTGGGGTAGTTTGAGATCAAACGAACCAGGATAAAAATAACGTGTTGTCTGCATTTGATTTCAAGTTTCAACAATTCAACCCCCCTTCTTGTGTTTTTCACTTCTTCAATTAGCATCAGAGCGCCTGGTTCTGAGTTCATAACACTTAATCGTGTCAGTACAAGATCCAGCGTTGAAAAACACTATGGCAGGAACACATCACAACATCAGCAATGACAACAACGAAGAAAGAGACAGATTCAGTGGCAAACCTCCAGTCTTTGATGGAGACAACTTTGATTACTAGAAAGACAGAATTGAAAGCTTCTTTCTAGCCCATGATGCTGATCTGTGGGATATGGTGACAGATGGATACACGCACCCAGTGAATGCAAATGGTCAGAAGATTGACAGGAAAGCAATGTCTGACCAACAAAAGCGTGATTTCAAGAATCATCACAAGGCCAGAACTATTCTTCTCAGTGCTATCTCTTACTCTGAATATGAAAAAATATCAAACAGAGACACTGCTAAGAACATGTTTGATTCTATCAGAATGACGCATGAAGGCAACCTTCAAGTTAAAGAAACTAAAGCTTTTGCGCTCATCCAGAAGTATGAGGCATTCAAGATGGAAGAAAGTGAATCTATTGAAACAATGTTCTCAAGATTTCAGATTCTGGTTGCTGGTCTCAAAGTTCTGGACAAGGGGTATTCTACTGCTGATCATGTCAAGAAGATCATCAGAAGTTTTCCAAAACAGTGGAGGCCAATGGTCACAGCGCTGAAGCTAGCTAAGGATCTCAATACAATCTCTCTGGAGGAACTTGTCAGCTTCCTCAGAAGTCACGAGATAGAGCTGGAAGCTGATGAACCTCAAAAGCAAGGTAAGCCTTTAGCTCTAAAATCTAACAGAAAATCTGACTTTAAGGTTTTGCAGGCTGTTGAAGAAACCTCTGATGGGTCCTCATCAGAAGAAGATGAACTGTCTCTCCTCTCCAGAAGGGTGAACCAACTGTGGAAGCAGAGGCAAAGAAAGTTCAGGACTCCCAGAAGATATGAGAACCAGAACGACTCCTCCTCCAGATACAGAAGGTCAGAATCCTCCTCTGGACACAGAAGATCTGAAGGCTCTTCAGGAAGCAGAAAGCCAAACAACAAGGACATCATCTGCTATGAATGCAACGAGCAAGGACACTACAAGAGTGACTGCCCAAAACTTCAGAAGGAAAAGCCCAGAAGAAAGTTTGGCAAGGAAAAGAAGAAAAGTCTCATGGCCACATGGGATGACTCTGACACATCTGAAGTTGACTCAGAATCAGATGATGAGAGAGCAAACATAGCTCTCATGGCAAACATATCAGAAGACAGTGAAGCTTCTGAATCAGACTCTGAATCAGACACAGAAGAGGTATTTCCTGACTTTGCTATTAATTTTACTAAGGCTGAACTAGCTGAAAGCCTTAATGAGATTCTGGAAAGATATCAGCAGATCAGAGTCAAATTCAGAAACCTGAAAAGGGATCTTGCTTCTGACTCTGATAAAACTGAGAGTCTCAAGTTGGAAAATTCTGAGTTGAAAAATAAAGTTTCAAAATTAGAAAATATATTACAAAACTCTCAGAAGGAAACAATTCTTGAAACTCCCAGTAGTGCTGATGAGATCATCAAGGAGTATGATCACAGCTTTCAGAAGTTTCTTGCTAAAAGCATAGATAGAAGCAAAATGGCTTCAATGATCTATGGAGTTAGCAGAAATGGCAGAAAGAGAATAGGATACCAAGGTAAGGTACCTACACCAAAGAATGCCATGGATTTAGTTATTAAACGAACTCCACTTAAGTCACACTTTGTATATGGGCACACACACGACATCAAATATACTAGTAGTAATTATTCTGTCAAACCAAAATTCAACCAGAGTTTTGGTAAAACTAACAAATCAGGACCCAAGAAAATATGGGTACCTAAGGATAAAATAATACATGTTGCAGATATCTTTAGCAGCAAAGTAGAAACACCAGTCATGGTACCTGGACTCTGGCTGCTCATGACACATGACGGAAAGAAGGCATATGTTCCAAAGCCTGGAACTTAAGCCTGGAGGCCATGTAGGCTTTGGAGGCAATCAGAGGGGAAAGATCATTGGCTCTGGAACAGTAGGTAATGGAAATCTTCCCTCTATCAGTAATGTCTTATTAGTAGATGGATTAATGCATAACCTGTTATCCATAAGTCAATAAAGTGATAACGGTTATGATATAATCTTTAATCAAAATTCATGTAAAGTTGTTAGTCAAAAAGATGGGACTATCCTGTTTAATGGAAAGAGGAGAAACAACATTTACAAAATCAAACTTCTTGAACTGAAAAGTCAGAATGTAAAGTG